ACAAATAGTAATGTGGGTGCACAAAGGAAAGAAATGCAGAGCAACCAACCAGATTGCCTGATTGTCAACTAGCGTCACTTATTTCACATGATTTCTTGTTGCTTTGGGTCACATCACTTACTGTCATTGCTTTGTGCTACCCTATTGATTTGCTTTCATAAGAAGTGGACATTAGGATTATAAGGCATAAGGATTATATCACCTAGCAGAGCCAGGACTGAGGTAGTGCCATGCAGGCCACATTGCTCATAAGAAGATTGGAGAGAGACATTTGGAAGGAAGGATGTTGCACTGCTGAGCCAGGAATAGGAGTCATAGTGGACATTGCATTGCCGAGCCTAGAATATAGACATCCAGGTACAGTGTACTGCTTATCCAAGGGTGGAGACTGGAGTGGAATTCACCCATACCTCTTGGGGTTAATTTACTAAAGGCAAATAGACTGTTAACTTTGCAGGACATATTTGCTTTAGTCAATGAGGTGAAGCTCAGCTGACTTCCATCCCATCATCCAATCATGTGCAAGCAAAAATACTTTAAAAAAATATATTTGCAAGGTGATTTTTTTTACCACATTCTCTAAGCTTAGGGAATAATTCCTGTGCAAAGTGATATTTGCATTAGTACATTCAGGGCTGTTGCTATAATGAGGAATCCAGAGCCTCTCCGGCCAGAGTGTCCTAGGTTGCTAAGCTCTTAGCAACCTGCGATGCTCTGGCTGGTGTACCACCCAGCCCCAGGCAACCAATGATGACAGTGAGCTGGGTGAGACACCGGACAAATCCAGGAGGCAGCACCGCCCCCCCACAGAAATCCCCCAGGACCTCCCTTCACTCACCAGCACCAGTGTCTACAAGCCAAAACCTGACTACCCCCCTGGATGTGCACCACCAGCACACAACTACCCCCCCCCCTGCCCAAAGGGGGAGAAAGGTATAGGGACAACATTTAAGTCACCCCAATTGCCTTAAAGAAGAAGAATAAAGAAGTGAAGTCTGTTCTTCATCAGAAGGGTGCTGAATACATACAGAATACATTTTAGAATACTTACATTTTAGCAGATGTGTTATAGTCAATAGACCAATTATTTGGCATAGGAAAATCCTGGCACCAGATCATGGAGTCCTTCTGTACTCACAGTATGTGTCTCTTGGTTTTGCCAACATCAGGCGGTTACCAAGAACCATGGCCAATACATATTATGTTACTGGAGACTTTCTCGATACCGTTTCACATGATTCCTTTTAACAAGTTTGCAGTAAAAAGCACTGAAAACCTACTGGCATTATATAAACATTTACAAACAAAGCAAAGGTTACCATTTAACAGTCATCGGGGAGAGTTTTGTTTTGATCTTTAACTAACATTTTCAAACTGTAAAGAAAAGGAACAGCGTGACTCTAGCAGGAAAAGATGTATTCCTTTTTTATTTGGGAGAGACCCTTCCGTGAGACCTACAAAGAAATGCACGCAGTTAGGAAAATGTTCCCTTCATAAATATGGTTTTCCATTTACTGCCATGAGTCACAGATTATTCTTTATACAGGAACGTGACTCTGGTGAGTCATTCCTAAACCAAATGAAGCATTTCCCCATGAAAACTAACTAACTATGGGAAACATGCTGGACGGCCACTGTCATCCTGGAGACAGAATACAGATAAAAGTGAAATTTTATTACTAAACACTATTAGTGATAAAGAAATGAAAGAGCTGAGAAAATAAATATCTTTACTATATTGTCCAGTATGATGTATAAAGCACACTCCAGTCTAGATTTAAAATAAAACACAACTCTATACACAACTTATTTTGTTTTTGGACTTCAGGATAAGTAAATATTTTCTAATTATAAGAGCCATGTGTATTCTTACTTGAAGCTTGGTGTGTTTTCTGTAATCCTTGCGGATCGGTTCTGTATTCTAGTGTAAAACTTTGCCTCTGTGCAGGAGCTTCCTGTACTGAAGACCAGTCACTGCTGCTCTCTCTCCTTGTGTAGGGTGACTGGCCTGGTCTCTGCCCCCTCTTGTAGTTTTCTGCTGCCTGCAGTGGGTGGGGCCTGCTGGGTCATTCCCACACATCTGTTCTGAGCCCAGGTTATGAGCAGAACATTGATGATGACACTGCTACTTGTATATGTTATTAACTCGGTTTGTAATGGCATGTGGTGCACTGCACACAAAGTAGATGTATATCCTGTGTGGCTATTGAGGAACATGCTTAGGTGACAGTTCTTGTACCTGGAGTCCAGCTATAAAGCTCCTGTCAGGTTTCTATTGCTTTCTGTGTGCCTGTTAAGGAGATATCCAGCAGCAATGTAAATAAGTTAACTGCATTGGAATCAGCATGAAGCATGTTCTTAGACAGCAGCACCATCCAGGAGAGAGGTATACGTCTCTAGAGAAACATGGAGTGTGCACTTTCCTCTGAAAATGCTAGTTGTCTGGTGATTATGCCACTTACTTACTTAATTATTTTCAGTCAGTGACTCTGCACATATATGTTGATATGGACTTATGACAAGGGATGAGGCTGGGCTTGGTGTAACCCAGTACGTCTGAGTTCGCCCAAGCCCGCTCAAAACTCTGACCTCCACCCCTTCTTCCGAACCAATCAGTGTTGGCAGTTGCGGTGGGGGCATTACCTGCGACTTTGTGGGGAATGCTCCTCTCCGCAACTGATTAGGTCGGGAGGAGGGGATGGCGGTCAGAGCTTTGAGCAGACTTGGATGAACTCTGGAGACCTGGGTTCACACCAAGCCCAGCCTCATGTCTACTTCTGACTTCTCTGATTAGTATACTTGTAAAATACTCAGAAAGCATTGAAGTCAGTAATGTCTGTGACTGACCCTAGCAGTCAGATGGCGAGCATTTTAAATCGGATGCCTGAAATGGTAGCACCTGTACTTTTCTCATGACAGGTTTACTATAAAGCTGAACGCAACATAATTTAATGCAGCTCTGTATTCATCAATAAGTCAAATGCATTTTAGTTTAACACCATTAATATAAGTTCCTGAATGTGACTTGGTATCAACGTCTTGCAATTCCCTATACAGCAGCAGTAAGCAGGAGCAGAACTGGAATCAATCAGATGAACTGTGTTGACAGAAACAAAACAAAAATAAGAATGATAGAAGGATAGAGCAGAAGAAATGCCTCATTAGTCTTCCGCTGCTCTCTCACTGTCCTGTAAAAAGGCTAGCGATGGAGAGAGTGTGTCACTGTATTCCACATTGTAAGTAGAGTCATCAGCTTTAATGACAGATTCCCTTTTTAAAATGAAAGAGAAAATAGGACAACATCGGTGTGATTGTATGATTGCACTTGGCACTGTGTGCTCATGAAACGTGTGACAGGTTTGCTTTAAGAACAGAAGCAGTCCTCACTATCATCAGCTCCTATTGCTCTGACATTTCCCCCCCCCACCACCTGCTCAGTCAGTTACATTTCTTCTGCTAGTGCCTGTGAGAAGTGAGAAGAAATGATTAGTGTTGTAGATCTGTTTTACTTCCACGCTCTATCTTCTCTCCTCCATTATAAGAAAATCTTTACACATTGAACAGACTGAGAAGAAGAGAACATTGCTGCCGTCTCTCCTCCCGAGTCATCAGTCGCACTGATTTACTTCTTTTCACACAGGTGATGAACAAAACACTTACAGAAGTGTGAGACAGATCAATGCCTGTTTAAGTACACCTGTCATGAGACAAATATGGGGGCCAGTCGCTGCTCACCTATTTCCCATAGTAATCGTTGCCTAGATGTGTCAGTACTTCTGACTCACAGATTTGAGACAAGCATGCATCAAATCAAAGTCTATAGTTTTTTCTAGTCCAATTACTCGAAATAAACGGAAGTATTAAAGCTAAAAGCAACAACTGCCAGGTAAGTAGCATTTTCAGGAGGAGAGGGCAGCACTGTCGGTCTCCATAGTCTTTAAAAGGCAGGGGCACTTACCGTGGGGAAGCTAGACATTCTGTCACCTGGGGCAAAGAATCAAAGTTGCCCCACCCCCCCCCCCCCCAAGCAGGTAAGAAAAGTTCTCCATCCACACACCCAGTGGCACCCCTGGCACATGCCCCCTAAACCACACCTCCCCCAGCTTCCGCCCTGGGTACTTAAATAGTTTACATTCCTTTCTGTCTTTACAAAGGAACCAGCAGTACTTCAGCTGGCCATTCGCTGGTAGATTTTTGTATGAATGCTCATATGAAAATCTCGTCAGATCATTCGATGATGCCATTAGCACCTGACGAATGTCATTTGGAATTTCGTTTGATTTTAACATTCGATTTTGGAATTAATTAAGTGTCCACATTCACTGATAGAATTCCATTTGTTCAAGAAAAAACATTTCCATCTTGCACCTTCGATTTTTTCCCCTCGCTCCGGTTGAAGATTACTGTCGATTTGGCCCCATTAACTATTTGAAAATCAAAATAATGTAAAAAAAAACTAATTTTATCAAACATAATTCTACTGGTTTACGGCCAGCTTTGGTATGGCACAGTGTAATGTAGAGGAGGTGAAAAAGGGAGGCTTCTAATCGCAGGCGGGGGCTTCTAGGTACCAGTAATCCCGCTAACACATCCATTGCTATGGGTATCTGCTATATTCTGTGATGGAGTGATGGCTGACAATGTATAATAAATGAAAAAATGCCAGTGATTAAAATGACGAGAGATGAACCATAAGGAATTAGTTATGGCAAGGTGGAAATGTAAAAAAGGACAAGTGATAAATATTACTTTTAGTGATAAATGATGATTTATCACACACTGCAACTCTTCACCTTAATAGAACCTGTACTACTACAGAATAAAAAAAGCAGAAACAGTTTGGTAATTATTTTTATTTTCTATAATACTTAATGAATATTCAACTGTAATGTAGCAAATATATCATATAATATATAGTATAAACAGTATTATATGCTGTATACACTGATAAGAAGGGAAATAGTAAATGACTATATCATCTACTATAAACCTATCTGTACATTTACAAACAATAAAAAGGGGTAAAAACTGAAATCAGTGCTTTGCTTTGACAAATCGCTTTGCTTCTTTTACCAGCTGGTTCACGTCTTCACTGTCTTTTTCTTCAGAGTCTGGCATCCAGTCTGAATCCTCATCGGTGAAGTCCTCTTCCTCTTCGTCATCAATAAAGCTGTCCTCTAGGTCGTACTCATTGGGCTCCCCATCATTATCACTGTCATCGTCCAAAGCATTTTTGGCTGGAGAAAGAATAGCAGAATGAAACCCAACACATGATTCAAAGTATTACAGCAGGATGCTTTTCATCAGAAATGACTGTAACTAGGACCTTTTCAATGGAAGAGCAGCTAACCTGACAACCTGAAAAATGTGTCTTGTCCAGCCACCATACTGTACTGACTGACAGCACAGGAGGGGCCACATACATGTTCTACTTTTTTAAAATTATTACACATCTATTGGACTTTATCTTAAGGCAACTGCCTTCTGTCCCCTGAACCCTTCAGATAAATAAGTAGGCCTATCTATGAGCTCTGCTCCCTAATCCAGTTTGGTAGCTGAAACACTTCTGATTACAGCACACCTCTCTTGCAGTATAGTTAGTTGGCAGCCACTAAGTAGTCTATGGGAAATTTGCAGAGCGCTGCCAATGAGAGCCACATCGTGCTGCTCTAGAACTTTAGACCTGAAGACCTCAGGATCTGGGGAACTTCTACCTACCTCATGCACACCTAGAGCTCTTCTTTAAAAGTTTTTAAAAAATCAATAATTTAAAACAAAACATAATTGCCGGGCTAAAGACGTTAAAAAAAGAGGCAAAAATCCAATGTTAAGAGGTTTGTATTGTCCATGTCTGCTATATTTAAGTTGCAAGCATTAAGATGTGGATATTTGTAATTTAAATCATATCACGACTTCCATATAGAAGCACCATTACACTGGCAATGCTAGCTCCCTTGACTTTGCTTAAAGTGTATTTCCACCTTTACAGTCAAATTTGAGAAACCATCATTATATGTATATGCGTTCCCATTCACACAGCATACCTAAAAATCATTTCTTAAAAAAGTATTTCTTAATTCTGGAATAGTTTCTTTGGAGCAGGTTTACATTGCTTAGAATAGATGGCAATGTGCAGCTTGTATTGCTTAGAATAGATGGCAATGTGCATATGAGGGACACACTGAGGGACAGTTGTTTTAAAAGTGCATTAAAGCGGATGTAAAGCTTTTTTTATTATTATGATATAGCGTCAACAGTTTGTGCAGCGCTTTACAATATAAGGAAGACATTACAATCACAATACAATTCAAGACAAGATGGTAAGGAGGGCCCTGCCTCTGAGGGCTTACAATCTAAAAGGGAGGGGCAAGTGATAGATGAGGAGGTTTTGTTATTTTAAAAAATAAGAAATGGGCTATGGCTTTTAGCCATAATCTGCTAGTACCGGTATGCACAGCATATCAGCACATTATGGAAGACTTACTTGCCAAAAAAAATCCCCTACATGCACTTCTTCCTCACTGCTGCTTTCATTTTCTCCCTGGTCTTTTTCTGGGTTTCGAGTGTTTGGCCACTTGATTGGCAGGACCATGATGACTTAAATCTTGTGCATACGGTTGGGGGTTACTTCATCTTGGCATGCCGGGTCTGTGCACTGAGCTGCAGCTCAGCGTACAGAAAACAAACAAACTGCTGAATGGTAGAAAGAGGTTTTTATGGCAATAGAGACTCACACAATCTCTTCTGCCATAGAAGGCCCGTGGATCAATAGTTTTTTTAAAAATATTTACTTCCACTTTAACATTTAATGTACCACCCGAGCCTTGAGATGTTTAATCTTTTATCAGGGCAGACAGTCCTGCACATCTACTTTAAAACTGATATTGAACATCTACCAGCACAGTACAGGCAGGGTTTATTATGGTAAACGTAACCCCACAGCCCCCTACTTAAGGTTACATAGAAAGGAAAAGCAAAGTAGTTTTTTTTTCTTATGTTTTAAGTTCAATGTAAATGGGAATAAGTAAGAAATATAAAGTAGTTGTTATTCCAATTTGGCTGCAAAAGTGGAAATAAACTTTAAATCATAATCCCTTACAAATCCCACTAAGCAAAAGAAATATAGCTCATAAAATTGATGGATAGGCAGGATAGCGTCATTCCTACTTTGTTTATTCTTTAGAAATTCACAAGGGGGTACTGAACAATGTCATTTACTGGTGCAGGATGGCAGAAAGAGAAGAGTTAATTGCAAATAAACAATAATGTGTAATTGTGACTGATAATATTTATGTCAAATGAAGGAAAACAGGCATTACCCCAAGCTACCATCTATTTCTTTCTCTATGACGCACATTCACATATGAGTATATGTGGATGGCAAATCATTAAAATAATGGCACGAGCTTCCAAAGGTTATACTATTTCTGTCATAGATAAATGATAAATGACTAAATATTTTATCTTCATAATAGTAACTGCATAGTGTGAGATGTAATTTGTCTTACAAACGAATGTTTATACTTAATTTAATTAACAAGGTTCAGCGCTCATACACATCATAATCTGAAGGACCATTCAGCCTGAGAAGTTTGCAGCATAGGTAAGGTGCACTGTTCAAAAATATGACTTCCTACTGCATTACCCTCCAATACCATAGCACTTGCTCAGACTCAAAAATCCTCTTATGTGCACAGATTCTGTTCCATTAGCTACTTTCCCAGCCATGGAGGTAGGGGGTTGACAGCTTTGATCAAAAGGGCATCACTTCCAGATTCATTCTAGCTAGGGGAGATTGCTGGTCTCCCTCCACCCTACCTGTTGATACCCACATGGCTGTCCTGGGCACCCAGAAGGCACACGGGTAGGTCCGTACATAGTGGCAATGGGGGGTGGGGTGCCCAGGAGTTTGAGTAAAGTTTGAGTACTTTGGTGGTGGAGAGAGTTTAAAATAAGCACACATTGACCTCAGTATTGTATCAGCAGACGTTGTGGAGCAAATCATTCTCAACAGGAGCACTCAACTGCTCTGTGTTTACAAGGCTGTCAATTCACTGCTGGAAGGGGCAGCTGAGCTGCTGAGAGGGGAAGCTGAGCTGGTAAGTCACTGATGGAGGGGGGATACGTTGTTCAGTCTTGGCTGGGAGAAGGAGCTATGAGCTGCTAAAACACTGCTGAGAGAGGGAGCAGGGGCAGCCAAGCTGCTGAGTCATTGCTGGGAGGGGGAATTAAGACAACGAGAGCACTTCAGTACTTTTGCTGTGAACTTTATGGATGAATTGCTCTACAATGCCAGCAACTAAAGAGCTCAGGAAGATCTTGTTTGAAGCACATTTAAGGCTTGTTTAAAAAAAAGTTAATATTTGTATGCCCATAGCCTTGCCACAGGTTAATTTAAAAAAAAACAAAAAAACCTGAAAATAAAGGATTACAGGTGACACCCCTGTTGAATTATGTTTTAAGGGGTTGGACAGATTGCTAAATGTTAAAGCGGAACTTCTGGCATATATAAAATACCCTTCAATTCAGTTGAGTATAATTAAATCTCACCAAACATATGTTTTAAATATTGCTACTATAGTTACATTTATTAAAATTAATGTATCTCTATATCAAAGAGGTTCTACACTTACTACATTGTTACATTTAGAGATCTAAATACCCCTACACACATATACAGTTCAAACAAAACACCTGCAATAAAGCACAGCATGCAGATCTCTGAGTGCTTTGCTAGGTAAAATAGTGCATGTGCATTTTTTGTGCTTGTGGGGCATGTTAAGGACCATTCAAAGTGAACGGGCTGCCTTGATGCAAAGTGTAAGGCTCCATTCACACCCAGGCATCAGCATTTTCGCACATATTTGTGCATTTTGTGTTTAGCGCGGTTTTGCACATTTATGCACGCATTGGACACTCCTATACAAAAACACGTGTTTTATTGAGCAAATTGAAATGCATTGCGGTGAAAGAGCAAACATGCACACAAACGTGCAAAAATGCACAGAGAAATTTGCAAAATGCTTGTGTTGCACGTTTTCATGCGATTCCATTGAAGTCTACGTGACCAAACACGCTGCACTCTGCCCCCAAAAAAGCTGATGTACCCTTTCTAGCGTTCGGCCTTTTACAGCTTGCAACAAAACTCTCAGGTGTGAAAAGGGGCCATTGAAATGAATGGGATTTCCTGTGTTGAGAGTTTTGCGCGTTTAGCTTTGAGCGCCAAAATGCCTAGGTGTAAACCGGGACTAAGTGTGTCAATGCACAAAAAGGCTGGGGGGACCTCATGAGGGTTAAGTCAGTCATAGGTATGAAGAGATCCTCAGTCGGAGGTTCTTTTCCAGTTACTGTACAGCAGCATGTCTATCACAACACATAAAAGTTAGGATTGTAAATTATGCAGACATAAAGCATACCTTTCTTTGCAGCTCTTTTCCTTAGCCGCCTGCCTAAAAAAAAAAAAAATGCAATGTTTAGGGACGATTTCATCATGAGCAGTTCCCATAACACCAAAATTTCAGGTCTGCTATTTGAAAAGATTACTTTTTTGATGACTCAAATTTAGATTCTACGACATTTTCCACTGAATATGACTGGGTGTTATAAATTGTCCAGCAGTTTCCCAAATAGGGCCATGTCATGAAGTAAGAATCTGCATAGATACAGGGTCTGTATTTTACATCTCTCTTGTACCTTTTCCTGCTGTTGATTTAGAGTATGAAACCTCCACTTGTCTGCGGCAGTAGATGTACTTATTTCCCGAGCATATTCAGCGCACGCCTGCACTGCTGCTCAGATAGAATTCAATCACCCAACCGCATTATGTTACTGCAGATAAAACTATGCCAACCATATACATAACTATAAATGATAAACGATCTAAAATGATTATTCAAGAAAACAAAAAAGGCAAAAAGGTCAATGTAGATAAATTCGACTGGATTTTCCACAAGTCGTGATCATTGCTTTTTGATGTATCCTTTATTTGAAGTACTGTACAAGAACCTAATAGAATGGTGTAAAATATTGGGGAAATTTACTAAAAATGTAAGAGACTCTGGAGCAGCTGTGCATAGCAACCAATCAGCTTCTATCTTCAGCTTCTTCACTTAAACTTGAAAAATGAAAGCTAGAAAAGGATTGGTTGGAATGTACAGTTGCTCTACATTCTGTCTGCTGCAGTCTTTGTAAATTCCCCTCATTGTATCTTTTTTAACAGTGAGCCAAATCAAAATAGTTTCTGGATGACACGTTACTTTCTGTCCATAAACATTAATCAGATTCTCCATTAGATTACAGCAATGGAAAATTAAATGATTAATTATGCAAAACAAGTTACTATTGATTTCCATCACTAAGTGGTGTACAAAGTCAAGGTGTACAGAGAATATAACAGCTCGATATACACAAATACATGAAACAATAGGCAGAAAAATCCTAGCAACAAAATCCACCATCTAAAAGAATAAGGGCCAGATAAAATACAAGGGGTATTTGGCACCAATAGTTTTAATTAGGGATGCACCGATACCAGCATCGGTATCACTGCCGATACTGGGCATTTTCACGAGTAATTGTGAAAATGCCCTAATACCAAGAGCTGCTACAGCCCATGGTGAGATCCCGCAGCCGCCCGTACAGCCTCGTGAGACCCCGCACAGCCCTGGTTGAGCAACACAGAGTATGTGGCTTCATAGTGTTCGGCATTGCTGTATAATCTATTGCTGGGATTTGTAGTCATCAATCGCTGGCGGTATTCCGCAGTGTATAATATATTGCTGAGATTTGTACTCCTCTATAGCTGGTGGTATTCTGCATGGCTGTATAATGTATTTCTGGGATTTGTAGTCCTCTATAGCTGATGGTATTCTGCCTATGTATTGCTGAGATTTGTAGTCCTCTATAGCTGGCAGTATTTTGCAATGCTGTATAACGTATTGCTGGGATTTGTAGTCCCTCTACAGCTTGGAGTCAGTGGCAGAACTACCAGGTTGGCAGCTGCGACTGGGCCCTGGTGCTCCACCACTGTCCTAAAAGCATTAGTCTGTGTTGTTTTAGAAACCACACAACAGAAAAAGGTATTGGCAAGTACTTGAGGAAAAGTATCTGTACTCGGTCTTGAAAAAATGGTATCGGTGCAATCCTATTTTGTTGTCAGCTCACACACAGGAAAAGACAAAAACGCTGCATTTCTAGAAAGATCAACAGGTATTTTTTCTACTCGCTATAAAAATTTTTTTTTTTAGCCTAAAAAAATTAAATAAATGAAGGGACCACATTTAAAGAGAAGGAGCGCAGCATGAGAGATGTCCTGGAAGTCTGAATAGGAAGTGGTTGCCGGAGTAAAAAGAATTTTGGGCACTGAGAAAATGTCCCATTTTTATTTTAGAGTAGGTGGCCATCAATTTCCTGTCAAATTTTTGACATGCTTTAGGATGTCCTTAATCATTAGGTGACAGAACCACTTCTTGGGTTTTCTAACTGAGAAAAAGGTAAACAGGTTCTGCTCCCTTTTCCTTAGCTGTTAAAAGTATGAGAAAACAAGAGTCCTTCTGCAGTGTTCTTTCTTATTCATCATTCCTGGGGGAGATATCTGCCCACCTATGGACACTCATTAGGAAAAGACTTAGATCTTTGTAGACAACAAACAGAAAATAAATCCCTGTATAGTTCCAGCATAAATGTAAGATATAAACCGCCACTGAAAAGCATTAAGAGCATATAAACACTACATGCGTCATTCCTTTCACGTATAGATGAAGCAGATATATTTGATAGCTCTAATCCATGAAAAGTCCTTGGGTAAGTTTTCCCTAGTATTGTTTCTGATAATGAGATAATTATTTTAAACAGCACTGGACTAAAAGAACGTCAAATTTGAAGACTGAACACTTGTCCCTGGCATTTCCTCTTATCAGGATACTCGAAAATTGCTCGCAGAGAATAGAAGGACCTCAGAGTTTGTCTTGTGCCATTAGTGATAAATTAGCAAGCAAGATGTTTTCTGCATCTATCTAAAAGTACATTTTTAACAGCAAACTGTATTTTAAGCCTACACATTGCTGCATTTGCAAAAAGAAAGTAGATTAATGTTTGTGGCCATTTATATGCATGGACATTTTCAACATTTACGCCATTCTTTCCAGTATAGCTATTTTTTATTTAGGGTGGGCCTAAACCCTGCCAATTTGTTTTTGTCATCTGTGTCTCATTAGGGAGATTTTCCTTCACTTTCCGTCCTGTAGACTCAACAGGAAGTAAGAGCATATCTTAGTCAAAGCAGGCTGCATATTCAAAATTTTATGTAAGAGGGTCACTGAATCAAAGTACCTGGTTTTAAGCTCTGACGGCAGCGTAAGAATGATAATTATGTTTACAGCAGGGACAAAAAAGCCTTTGCTGTCTTCAAAGGTCTGTCTTAGTCTTCCTAAATTAGTATTAAATGTGTGTGCAGACTAATGACTATGAGTACAAGGAAGAGAAAAATCAAATTATAGATCTAAAAAAAATCGGTGTGGCTTGATTATAATCTTAGTAGACCAGATGACCAGAGTTGTGAAAGCATTCTGCAACTGGAAACTGCAGGGCAGGTAACGTAGATCCAAACTGACATGAAAGAGGAGAGTGTTGGAAGAATCAAAGATCATGGACAAAATATGGGAACAAACCTGCTGCCCAAGAACTGGATCAGACAGCAGCAATTTGTATATACTTTGTCTTTCTCAGAATAACAGCTATAACTATATATAACATGTTTTCCAGTCACTCCTAGAACATCCCAAAACCAATGACACTAAGTAGAAGGCCCAGTTTAGGAGTCAAAACGTGGTCCTTCACTTGTTTCCTTGCTCTTTTCTAGAATTCCATAATCCTAAGTTTTGCTGGCTGATTATGGTTTGTATGCAGCACTTTCTCGGTAGTCCTTTGCTACTTTACCTAATACTTAGTACAACCAGTAAAAAAAAGGGACCAGTTCATTATGCAAGAAGTCCCTAGATACAGGGGTTCTTATATACAAAAATTGCTTTTAAGTAGGGATGTTCAGATACTAGTGCCGATACTTGGCATTTTCATGAGAACTACCGGGGTTGCAGCTGGGACCTGGCTCCACCAGGTCCATTTCAGGACCTGTCCTGAAATCATTAGTCTGTATTGTTTTAGAAAAACTGTCACATGACACTCAAGAAAAATGTATCAGTACTTGTATCTGTGAGTACTTGGACAAGTATCAGTACTTGTATTTGAAAAAATGATATTGGTGCATCTCTTACATATATTTATATAAAAAAAAATCATACATTAAAACAGGAATGCACAAATCCCAGGAGCTCCGTATGCTCACTAAAAATGACAGCTGCATCCTAACTTTTGAATTTTTCTCTAGTCTGGTCTTGGAGCTGGAAAAGTATCTGTACATGTACCGAGTACTGTACTTGGTATTGGAACCACCCTAGTTTTAAGCAAACCTGTGCTTTCGCGATACAGGAAGCCTTCACTTACACAGGGCCATTCCTAGTGTGACAGCGGTGAGTGGCCCAGCAGTGGCACATGGAGCGAGTCCTCCATACCTAGAAGTACTGGTTATTTCATTTAGCGCTGCATGGCTGAAGAGGTGAGAAGAAAATGATTTAAGATTTGTGTTGTTTTGTCCTGAATGGACTTTAAAGGAGAACTATGAGGTGAGTGAAAAGAACTCACCCTCATAGTTCGAGCCGACGTGTGACAATGAAACTGTCACACGTCGGCTCAATAGATTGGGAAGTGAGCGAACACATACCCTCGTTTGCTCACTTCTCGATCGTCTCACAGCGCTGACTGGAGGAATGGATGGGGCGGGTAGAGCTGGGCTCTGCCTCTAGATAGGCAGAGCCATCTGTCACTCAAGCACCTAGGTGGATCTCGACAGTAATGTCAGGATCCGTACCGGCTACGGCGGTCTCAGTATACCGCGAGCTGTAGCTCGCGATAAACTGAGCTTTGGGCCACTGGAGGACGCTAGTATATGTTCTCCCGTGACCCTTAAGAGAACTATGGGGGAAAACACTTACCCCATAGTTCTCTTTTAAGGCATACAATGCTCTTAGTTTCTTGACAAATGGCTGTGTCTATATCACCAACACTACAAATTGTTAATATTTTCCAATGTCTGCATTCTACTGCAGAGTCGATAAATGTTTAGGGAACAGCACTACAACATGCAATTTTCCACACAGGCTTCACCTCTACCTTATCAATTTAGAGCAAGTAATTTAAAAGGTCACAAAGTTCTAAAACCTAGTAATATCAAACATCACCACAGGACATCAGAGGCTTGGTAATGTTATCAGCAGTTTGTGTGAAAGAATATGACTATAGTACAGTCAGCTGTAAACTGGGGCAGATACTAATATAAATGGTATTTTGTAATGTTCTATGCAAATAAAAAATGCATATACAAATTTAACAACTACAAGCTTGGAAAAGCTTACCTGGTGGTCTAGTATGCTTGTATTCCAGCTTGTGCTGTGGATTTTTCCTGTAAAAAAAAAAAGAAGAATGTTTATTACTGCTATAGCACATAGACACTACGCTTTGATAGATACTTTTAATGGATAACAATTGTAAAACCCGTTTACAAGTTAAATAACACTTTTATGTTTCTCATATATGTATTGGACATATATGAACATACAGTGAATGTCTACGAATAGGAGAGGTGCTTAGAGCATTGTAGATGTACAGCTGCTAAGTATTGTACTTGTAGCTATAACTGATCAATATTGTACATTGTGAAAGGTGGTTAAGAGAACATTTATTCCCTTGCAGAAGCATTTCTTTACAACAACTTTTCAATAGAATGATATGGACAAAATCCATTTAAAAACCGTCAGAAGATGCACCTAGATATAGCTTTCTGGGGGATATTTATATAACAAGGGCAGCTGAAAACCCAGCAATTTCTGCCATTTGTGAAAAAACATGCAATTTAAATGATTGTTAAAAAAAAAGAATACACAGTTGTGAAATAAATAACGCAGACTTTAGAAAAATATATATTTTTGTAATCTGCCCCGTTTACAGTCTTTTTTAGGTTTATAAATGCCTCCCAATGGTAGCACTGCAAATGTATGACATGTATAATGATGTCATGGACCACTCATGAAGTAATGCATTCAAGAGCAGCACCAGGTGACAAGTGATAAATCATTGAGCTAGTAATGGTATCCAACAAACAATGCACATGAGATAATAAAAATCATGAGGCCTATTCAATGTACTTTAATGTAGGTTTTTAAGTACAGTGGTACCTCGGTTCGCGAACAGGAAGTTCAGCAACATTTTTGCTTCCATTCGCGAACCACGCATCGGGTGAGGAACACAACCGCAGCTATTTTCCCTGCTCTGACACTGGTCGTGGCTTCCTCTAGTCGTGATCGCGGTCTGATCACAGTTTGATTCGGTTTGCGACCAGTATCGTGGAACGAATTAAGTTCGTGAACCGGGGTACCACTGTAAGCATCTACATACAGAATCCAGGGAGCACCATGAGGTTCTGAATGTCCTTCCTAAAGTAGGTGCTGTGTTATTTCTTTATCTCCCACCCTAATTTCTATACCACAGTTAAATGCACAGGGTAAGGTATCTAATCTGATATTTGAATGTTGGAAACTTCTTAGCACTGAGACGATGTACTAAGAAGTACTAAAATGTCTGCAACAAATGCCTGTATCTTTCTTTAAAAAATACAATCCCCCGTCATTTTTCTTCTTGTACCCTCCCTGTCTTACCAGCAGTGATCAATTGAAGGAACAAGAGTCAAAACTAAAAATTAGGCCTTTATGCATACACATTCATAATCCGTCTGAGCACAAAAGGCCTAATTTTATTTTTAAACTGAAAAATGGTTTATCAGAATGATCTGGTTATGGAAAATTGCAAGTTCATATCCAATATTGTCATATGCTCTGACCCTCTATCTGGTGCTTTTAGGTTTAGCTGAATAGGTATGTTGTAGGGATGCACCGATACCGCGCTTTACTTTTTCAAATAGATTTGGCTGCCTTAGGACCAGCGCTTGCTGGGGACCTCATGACAGCCTTGTTGGGAATCATGCAGTGCCTGTTCATAGCGCTTCCGACACCCACACATCTCCCCTTCCTGAGACCCCCTGCCGAAGACATCCGAATGTCACCCGGCGCAGAGTATGTAGCAAATTCATATACTATTATGTATTGCTGAGCTTTGTAGTGCTCTATAGTCGGTGCTATTCTGCATTGCTGCATAATGTAGTGCTGTGATTTGTAGTCCTCTATAGCTGGTGGTATTCTGCATTGCTATATAATATATTGCTGAGATAGTCCCTCTACAGGTTTGAGTCACTGGCAAAACCACCAGGGGCGCAGCATTTGCAGCTGGGACCGGGCCCTGGCACTTCACCACTGTCCTAAAATCATTAGTCTGCATTGTTTTAGAAAAACTGTCACATGACATGATTGGTATCAGTGAGTACTTGAGGAATAGTATCGGTACTCGTACTCAGTCTGGAAAAAGTCAGTGCATCCCTAGTATGTTGTACTCAAATATTAGTTTCTGTTCATGGTCACTCCTTAGAGGCAGATCATAACTGAGCAGGTCTTAAAGTGAACCTGTACTTTGTCTAATAAAGTCACATGGATTTGCTGCCAGTCCATGCATGTTATGGATTTAAAACTCCACTAAGCACTTCCAAATAGAGGTGCACCAAAATGGAAATTTCAAAACCGAAATAAAAAAAATGTATGTTATAAATGAACAGGAATCCTCTATACTGAGTGTATCTGTTCATTCATAACTTGAGGATATAGTATGTTTACTATAACCACAACCATGAATGAACAGGAGGCGATGAACACTCCCATTCATTCATAATTGAGGATATAGTAAACATACTATGTCCTTAATTATGTACAAACACTCAGCAATCACTGGTCACTGAGTGTTTGTACCCGCTCTCCATCCTGACAGCTGTCACAGAAGGCTGAGCGAGCGGTGCAGGGAGGAGAGCTCAGCCTCCTGTGACAGTGCGGGCTGTCTCCGCCCACACACCGCTCTGCCGGACTGTGACAGGAGGCTGAGCGGTGCAGGGAGGAGAGACACAGAGCAGCGCCCAGCAGGGAGGAAAGAAACCAGGGATGTACATTTAGCCAAAAGTGCCATTTTCGGCCGATATGTTTCGGCGGCCGATACATCGGTGCATCCCTACTTCCAAGACCATATATTTTCATAAAGAAGCGGGTCTATAGAATTAATACGTTACTCAAAGCCATTTTGTGATAAAAAACAAAATAACTTTTTTTTTAGTACACACAATCTATAAAAGAGAAGAAAAAAACAGCAAATATTTCTAAGCTCAAAAATGTGAGTGAGTATGAAACAATAAGATATTCAACACTGTAAATAGGTGATAAAAAAACTTTAAAGTGATTTATACAGCTCCACCTCAGTTCAAAACATCCAGTTTTTAAACTCAGCTAGATATGATTGGATATAATTAATAGTAAAGAACTGAACTGGAAACATCTAAATATTTCAGTATTAAGTGTCAGGATGTGATAAATATAAATTCAAAGCAAAGCAGTCGGCAATAAAAAAAAGAAGAGAGAAGCACTTCAAGCTTTTAAAGTCCTCCAGTAAGCAATCTGAACTACACAGAACAGTGATTAATATAGTTTGCAGTGATAGCATCTAATAATGAAGAACAGCAGCAATGATCACAAATCATTTGTTACTTGTAAGACAGTCAATAAAGTTTGCATGTTACATTAAGATGTCATTTTGTAGCCAATAGTGTTAAAGAAGCATAAAGCTGAACTCAGGATGTACAGTACCTGTACAGGAGTTTACTGTTTGATTTAGTGAAACTGGCTGGCTGTAAACCCAGTTTGGAAAGAGGCAGAAAATCACAGAAAATAATTATGTATTTTTCAGAGCTTACTGTCTTTATTTGTTGCCTGGAGTTCTATGATCTATTTTACAACAAGAAGACCCTACTGCCACTGACAGCTCTGGGTCTCCACCAATGAAAAGGAACCAGTCATCATGGTTCCCAAACACTGGATCACAATGTTAGCTAAGACAGGGTGATCATACTCCATTGTTGATTACAATAATGTCACTGACAGCTACCACTGTATATTTTTACTTAAAGAAGACAATAGACAGTTAAACATTTTTTTCTATGCCATAGTGATGGATTGCATAATCATTGCCAAGCCTCCTGTTCCCTTTAGTTGGATGCATCCCCCTGTCTTTAAAACCCCTAGATCAGCCTTTCTCAACCAGGGTGCTAGGGCACCCTGGTATGCAATCTGGCTTCCTCAGGGGTGCCTTGAAATGTTGTGGTAGTGGGAATTTGAAGTAAAGGGGAAATGAAGTCTGAGGTGAAAGAGGCTCTTGATGTAAAGGGGGAACTCAGATGTGAAAGGGGGAGGGGGGGCTTTGATATGAAAGGGGGGCTTCTGATGTGAAGGGGGGGGGGGCATTTGATGTGAAGGGGG